ATCTTCTGGCTGAATGATCAGTAAGGGAGTCTTGGCCATTGTACTCACCACTACTTAAAAACCAAAAGGTTCTTTTAATGCTTGTTAACACTATTAACTTATTAATCTGATTTGTCTTTAAGCTTTCTGTGGCATTTAGCATGTTTTTCCCCTACTGCTACATCCATATTATTTCTGTATTCTTTTTACCTGGTAAAGCATTTATTCTCTCCAATAATGTCAACACTGCCCTATCAATTATGTTAGTTCTTGATTTTAGAACAAGCTATTCCAATATTGCTATGTATTATTTTTGGCCTCTGCCATTTAGCATGCATGCTTGGGTTTTCCATTTCCCTGCCCTCAGTTTAAACTGGGTTCTGTGCTTATTGTTATCACTGTTATCTGTGGTTTCAGGTTGCTGTGCTACCTTTTCTGTGGGGATATGGCTTTTGAAAGATTGTGTCATTCCAAATTGCTTTTTTTTTCTTTAACTGTTGGCTATCCCCAACAGTTTCATCAGAAAGCATTCTTTGAACCTTCTCAGTACCCACAGTTTTTAAATCTAGATGAGACCTACTCATCTCAGTAAGGTTCCCTTCATTCCAGGAGTTTGAGGAAGTGAAGTTGGCAGAGGCACTGGAGATGTTTTCCACATTAGGGTTAAGATCTGCAGTGGCTGAGGGAGCTGGGCTTTAGCCTGGAGGAAAGGAGGTTTGGGGAGAGACCTTATTGCTCTCTACAGCAACCTGGAAGGAGCATGCTGATGGCATAATCCATAAAAATACTGAATAAAATAGCCTGTACAGGCCATTTTATAATCCTGTATAAGATCCTCTCCCAGTTTAATGGAAAGCTATTAATAATTACTCTGTCATAGTCTGACTTTTTTTAATTGGCAACAGTTTAGCATTTGCAGTCGAAAGTAATCTGTACTTTGATTCTGTTGATGTAAAGCAGTCTTCTTCTAGAATCTCAACTATTCAAAGAAGACTATCTCTCTAGAAAAACAAATTCCTCTCATAAGCCATTATGATGTAAAAGGCCAAAAACTTAGCTAGCATTATTTTTCCAATGTTGTAGTCCTTGGAGCCTGGCAAAAAAGACTAGAAGTCCTAACATACAGTACTTGTTTATTCTTCTGCACCTGTGCTCTCAGCAGAAGCAAACTCTTTTATTGAAAATTCCCTCTTGAGCACTATTTTTAAAAGCCAATATACTCTCCTTAATTATATAAGCATATATACATTTTCAGAAGCAGAATTACAGATTTTTCTGCATGCTGCACATGAGCTGTTCATGAATATGTTCAAAAAGTCATTTTGTAGCTATTTCAGCATCAGTGCTCATCCTAGAATTGGACTGCTTCATTCATGCAGCTTTCAGTATTTTAAAACCTCTTCTTCACAAGATATTAATGTCCTTTTTAATAAGAAACAGTCTTCTGTCCATGAATCTCAAAGCTCTTTATGAGTATTCAGTAACTTGGTTATAACAGGATTACTTCATCAGTAACACTGATATTTTAAGAGCTTAAAATGACTGACTTGGAAATAACACTTGTGGTTGGTTTTTTTTCATCTACTCATGTTACATGCAACACCTACAGTCCCTGTTGCCTCTTGCAGTTGTAGACACTTTATTCTCTGATTACTTTGGTTCTGCAGAGATGCCAGTGCAGTCAGAGCAGGTTGGTCCAGCTGTATTTTTGTGCCTACCTGAGCTACGTTGGGTCTCTGTATGCTGCAACACACAGTATGGTGTAAACATGCTTTAATTAGGTGTCTTTCTGGAATGCACATCAAAGTCTGATTATTTAACCAACCATTTTCAGGTGCACTGAAATTATGGATGTACGCGGAATTGTACGTTTCCTTGCTAAAATGTTGCTTGAAATCTCTGCCTCCTAAGTAAAACTGAAGGAGACATAGAAGTCAGGGCACATTATGTGGGATACCAGCTGAGTAGGATAAAAGCAAGCTGTCTTTTGCAGCTGCATTCAGGAGTCCCAGCCAGCAAGAAAAGATTCTCTTTCACATATCCACTAGAAAGTAGAAATTGTTCGGAGCTTTTCTATGGGAATGATGCTGGACCAAATTCAACTGAGCTATAAGAAGTCTCCACTTCCACGGGAAGCTGTGCTTGGCCCAGGGGCCCCATTCATTAGAATACTGTCCCTCTTTTACAAGTACCAAGCAAATAGAGTCCTAGAGACGGTGTCAATACAGTTGGAGGACAAATAAACCACTGTATTGATTTTGACATAAATCCAAAGTAATATCTCTCAGCTGTTAACAGAAACCTTATAGCTTGGAAGAGAACTCATTGGAAAAGTGGCTTAGAAAAAGCAGGCAATTGAATTAGCAAAAGTCTAATTGCAGTATTTGCTCATTTGGGTTATCCTAAAGAAGTAAAATCCTAATAACAGTCTAGAATAATTTGTTTGCTATTTGGTTTAGGTATAGTGGGAAAGTATGTTTCATAAGTGAGCACTGGTATATATTTCACTCCCTGCATCATATTCATGGAATATTTGGGCATATGTTGCTGCACAGCTGGGTCTTACCAGGTCTGAAACTCCAGAGCTGATCAGCAGGTGCATTTGCTCCATTTGGATGGGAATACTTGCTGTGTTCTTGGAATGGCTTTTCTACTAATTTCACTAGTATTTTTGTTTCCCAGCATCTAGAAAGAAATTAACTGGACTATCTTCTAGGACAGTAGTCTTACTGAAAAATACTTAGGAAAGGTGATCTCCTTTGGCTGTTGGGATGGTATTGATAGGTTCTCAACTTCTATGCAACCAAGTGTATTTATGGACCATTGGTCCCTGGGAATGGGTAATCTCCCACTGTTCATGGTTGTCTCTGTGAATCAGCAAAAATACAAGAATTGGATTGGATGTTGTAAGAGTCCATTAATTTTGAGTGTGTGATTACTTTTACTGGTGGTTTAATATCTTCATTGTTTCTTTTTTTTTTTTCCCTTTGGTTCTTTTTGGTTTATTTCCTTCCTGATATAGAGAAATTCTCATTGGGTCCTCAAGGGACATTTTGTCACTTGAGTAATACTTAATAAAAGTTGGTGCTATGTCCACCAGGGTGCAGTCTTTCCCAAAAAAAGCCATGGTGGTCAGTAACTGTTTGGTGCACCTGTTCCTTGGAAACCAGATGAATCTATTTGTCTATCCTATTCTCCTGAGATTATGCTATCCAGTTCAGGAGAAATAGAGGAAAAAATGTATGCTATGGGTATTGAAATGAGAACCTCAGTAACAAAAATTGTAAATACCCTGAATATCTATTAAATGCTGGTACATTTTGTAAATTATTTATAAGAGTGCAGCAGATTTTGTTGTGTTGGGTGGTTTTTTTAACAAGACTCAATAGCTGTAATCAGGAAATGATGATGTGAATACTTAATTCTTTTAAAAATTAAAGGCCATTACTGCTGCTTCTGATACCATCCACATTAGTTAAAGCAACTGCTTTCGAGTTGAGGGAACAAGCTTTCCCAGCTCTAGCGGGAGAAGGACTAAATTTTTGCTGGGGGAGACAGAACATGCACAAAGCCCTAAGAAACTTCATTTGCTTCTGTTTTTTTCCCTATTTCTGTCCTCTTCCTTCCAGTTGCTGCCATCCCCAGGACTGCCAGAGATGAGCAGCACTGTTTGACCTGGCAGAGGTGGTGGGCAGGGCAGGGAGCTGCAGGGCCAGAGCTGCTCCAGCCAGAGGGCTCTGTGTGCAGCAGCAGTGGATTGGGTCCTGTGCCACTCACTGGCCTTGCAAACCAAGGAACAGTGCCCTGAACTAAAGCATCATCCATCTAACAACACGTGTCACTAACACAAGGTTTTGAGCTAGTTTTTCCCTTGTGCTGTGTTACCATGAGAAGAGGTTTCTATGGCATTTCAAAATGTAGTGTTTGCATTCCAGCAAACGGGTCTGAATTCAGCACTGACCTTGCTTGGAGCAGTGTTGGGCCCTGCAGGGCCTCCTGAGCTCCCATCCCACCAGAAAAATGCTGTGACTTAGCTTCTTGTGACTACCCTCCTTTTGCATCTCATGTTAACTGTTGCCTGTTATATTTATTTGTTGGTGTTTTGCAAATTTAAGCATTTTGGCAGCAATATGTACTCAAGGGCCTCATGGTACTACTTCATAGTAATCTTTATACTCAGGCCAAGTGAAAAGTGAAAGAGATTTTTAAGTAATCAACCCTTCCTCATCCCTAGTTCATTCAGAGTCATTGGGGGAAAATTTCAGAGGCGTCAGAGTAATAAGTTGCACAAAATTGGAAAGCTTGAAATAACAGCATTTTTTTTCCTCTTGTTCTAGGTTATGCATTGGATCCCTCTATAGATAACCCTGAGGTTGCTACCAAATATATTGGTTCTGTGGAAGAAGCTGAAAAAAATCAAGGTAATTCATTCAGAATCTCATATAAGTGACTTGCAGCTAATGACTGTTTTCATTTTTTTCTTTACCAAGAAGTGGAATTGGTATTAGCAAAGAAAGGAATTATGAGAAACTTGCTCATGTCCAAAGGCACAATAAAGATGTGTTGCAAGTGTAACACAAGGAGGGAAGAGAGATATTGAAGTGTTTTGTTTTCTTGAAGTAGCAAATGTTTCAGGCTGTGGTCAGATTTCAAACTAGGATTTGCAATTTGCCATTGCATGAATAAGAATTGATCTGTATATTTGTAACAGTTTCTTGGTCTTCTTAAATTGTCTTAGCTGAAATTGTCACATGTCTGCATTAGGATACCTGTGCCTTGGGCTAATCACTGTAACTGTACTATTCTGTAGCAAACTGATCACTCTGTATGCAACCTCTAGCACTCCCATTGGGAGCTGCATGTTATCTCTGCTTAGCAGAGTTAAGCTCTTTGGGTTATTTGGAAAAGAAAAACCATTGGAAGGTTGCCAGATGGTAAAGGCATGGCATGCCACTGGGAGGGCTGGCCACTAGAGGCATGGAGTTTGTAATTAATACTTTGATATGAGATATTTAACACTCAAAGTGACTTGTTTGAATTGGAAAACTGTACCTGTGTAAACTTTGTGGTTATGCTTTCCCTTGCATGTCTCTCTCAAATATCCTATTCACATGTGTATACAAAGGGTCTTTGTCTCTGTGTCCTCTTCCATGGAATATATCCAAGGTTATTTCCATCCAAAGGAAGATAAAGAAAATAGACTTATTTTGGTGTAGCAGCTACAGACATTAAGCAGAAATGGCAAAGATGAAATAATTTCAAAAAGTAAAAAATTAACCTTTTCATAATGGAATTGAGTAATTCATTTTAAGAAAACTCTTGATTCATGCATAATTCCTTCATATTATCAGTACTTCAGTTTTTACATCACCTGTTTCTCCTTGTTTGTACAAAGCTCCTTTTGGCTCTGTTGCCCTTCATGATTATTACTGCTGCTGTGGAAAAACATTATTTGAAAATTACACAAACTTCTATAAACAAGCATTTGAAAAACCTAAAAGGTGTTAAAGTAAAGTTTATTCCTTTTCCTCCCATATCTATATTGTTTAATGGGTTTGGCAAATGAAATTCCAGGGCACATTTGTGAAAGGTTAGCACTTAGATGAAAGAACAAGATAGCAGTTGGAAGTAGATAACAGTGTCAACGGCGACAGACTTTTTAATAGGGCCTGTAGTACTAGGACAGGGGTAATGATTTTAAGGTAAAAGAGGGTAGATTCAGACTAGTTATAAGGAAGAAATTTTTTACTATGAGAGTGGTGAAACAGTGGAACAGATTGCCCACAGAAGTGGTGGATGCCCCATCCCTGGAAACCTTCAAGGTCAGGTTGGACAGGGCTCTGAGCAACCTGATCTAGTTGAAGATGTCCCTGCTTATTGCATGGGGGTTGGACTAGGTGACCTTTAAAGGTCACTTCCAACCCAAACCATTCTATGATTCTATGAATTTTTGCTAAAATAAAATACACAGTTGTGGTTGGGATTTTGGGACACTTAAGTCTTGTTTTCATTTTGGGGCTGTTATTTTTTTAGACTGAGATGGATCAGAAGCCACTTGTGGACTCCACTTTCCAGAACTGCACTAATTGAAATATGAAAATTAATGTATTCATACAGTCTGCAGACTTAGTGTTAAAAATTCATGGGTACATGCATGGTTAGATACTCTGACAAACCATGATACACAGTTAAAGTGGTTCCTCCATTACCTGTACATAGTTAGCAGTGTCCATAGCTGGAAAGGTTTTGCTCGAATGCTTTTTTCCATTTTGCTGTTTGTACTGAAAGGAGTGGTGGTGGTGGTTTTTCCTTTTAAACTGACTGTGGTGTGACCTATGATGTTGAATTCTGTGTTAGCAGTTACACAGTGTATTGTGTCCTTCTTCAGGTTTAACAGTATTTGAAACAGGACAGAGGAAAATTGAAAAAAGGAAGAAGTTCAAGGAGAATGATGCATCCAATATTGATGGTTTTCTGGGACCATGGGCAAAGTATGTTGATGAAAAAGAAGTAGCCAAACCGTCAGAAGTAAGTACTACTTTAATACAATAAATACAAATTGTTAGCACATTGCAGTGGTTTTAACAGATATCCAACTCCACTAGTGCTTGTCCAAGCAGAAGATCCATGCTAAGCTTTGGGGTAATGGAAACATTTTAGGTGATATGTCCAAATAAGGTGTTCCAAATATTCTGCATTCAATTATTTGTGACACTGTTTGGAAATCAGGTTCATTGTATGTGTGTGTGTAGAATCTGATTAAAAGATGCTTGTAAATAGAAGTGGCTTGAAAAAATAAAATAAAATAAAAATTTTGGGGAAAAAATAGCCAAACAAAAAACCCAATAACACACACACACACACACTGTGAACCCTCCAACCAATAGACATCCTCCTTGTTCAGTCAGTGCTTAGCTGTAGTCTATGAATAAAAAGATAATGGTGTGTTCAGTGGACATAGTTTTTCAAACTATTATGGTTTTGATAAAAGTGTTCTCTTTATTGATGCTTAGAAATAGTTCTGATCTCAGCAAATAAATGTCTTCTTAATAGTGAGTAGTGCAGTTCTGTGTTCTTTTATGTGGCTCTGAGTGCTGACTTTTAAAAGATCATGCTTTATTTTTCCAGGAAGAGCAGAAGGAGTTGGATGAAATAACAGCTAAGAGACAGAAGAGAGGAAAACTAGAGGATGATAAACCTGGAGAGGAGAAGACTATATTACATGGTAATGGCATCTTCCTGCCTGCTCTCATTTTCTAGCTGGCTGTGCTTTCTTGCCTGCTGTGTTAATTAGTAAGGATGGCAGACAGCCTCAGCAGTTTTGCTGAGGCACCTTGATGTTTCTGTATTGGAGATAATAGCACCCACAGGCATAAGCATAAA